TGCGACGGTGCCAATGACGGCGACGACTCTAGAAGGATTTGAGCATGCGCTCGCGGCGACGCGCGCGCATGTCGCCCGCGTGGTATTTTTTGCACAGGATTCGCGGCCTGGGTGCATGACAGAGCATCGCGAGTGCACCGCGCGATGACGTGAGATCGCTGGATTTGACCGAATTCTTAAGATTCCTATGGTTTTTCCTATGATTTCAGCAAGAGAGCCCGGGCAGGAAATGTGTAGAATTTTTGTGAAAAAAGCATTGGGTTTTTGATGTTTTTATGTTGAAATGCTTGCAAACACACGGTGTTCGGTAGGATTCTGACATGAACGCGCGCGTGTGCTCTTTGTGGTATTTTTTGCAATGGTTATCGCCGTGGACGACAGGACGTCCATGTCGAGAGGAAAAAATAAGAAAAATGTTGATTTTGTATTGTTTTTGACAGGTTAGGATGGGACCACCCGGATGCGGCCCCTAATGGCCGGCCTGAGGGGGGAGTAGGAGTATATTCTAATAAGGAATAAGGATAGGAGTAGGAGTAGGAGTCAAGCTAGCCAGCTCGAGCGAGTCAAGCATGGCATGCCCAGTCCCACCCGCCCTCCCACAACATAAGAAGCAAAGCTGGCACAACTTGGGGCCGAAGTCACACCGGCCAGCCGGTTTGGTACAGCTGATGCGGCCGCGATGGCGGTTGCCGACGGGAACTGGCGAGCGCGTGTTGAATGCCGCGCACGCATTGCCAGACGAGTCGAGAATGGCCCGGTACACCGCAGGCAGCCAGAGGTGGCCGGAGGAAGCCCGACGGTCTGACAGGACACCCCAAAGCATTTTTGTGAAAAAGCATTGGGTTTTTGATGTTTTTATGTTGAAATGCTTGCAAACACACGGCGTTCGGTAGGATTCTGACATGAACGCGCGAGTGTGCTCTTTGTGGTATTTTTTGCACAGGATTCGCGGCCTGGGTGCCTGACAGTAAAAAAGGAAGAGAAGGAAATGAAAAAGATACACGAGGAATAAAGAAAAGTCATGACAGATCATCGCGATTGCACCGCGTGATGACGTTAAATCGCTGATTTGACCGAATTCTTTAGATTCCCTATGGTTTTTTCCCTATGATTTCGAGCAGATAGCCCGTAGGGCGGAGAAATTTATACATTTTTGTTTTTTTTTTATATATATAAACCAAAAAAAAAAAAAAAAAAAAAAAAAAAAAAAAAAAAAACATTGGGTTTTTGATGTTTTTATGTTGAAATGCTTGCAAACACACGGTGTTCGGTAGGATTATGACATGAACGCGCGCGTGTGCTTGTGGTATTTTCTGCAATGGATTATCGCCGTGGACGACAGGACGTCCATGTCGAGAGGAAAAAATAAGAAAAATGTTGATTTTGTATTGTTTTTTTACAGGTTAGGATGGGACCACCCGGATGCGCCCGCTATCTGCCGGCCTGAGGGGGGAGTAGGAGTATATTCTAATAAGGAATAAGGATAGGAGTATGAGTAGTAGTAGTAGGAGTAGTAGTAGTAGGAGGAGTGGGAGTATGAGTAGGAGTCAAGCTAGCCAGCTCGAGCGAGTCAAGCATGGCATGCCCAGTCCCACCCGCCCTCCCACAACATAAGAAGCAAAGCTGGCACAACTGGGGCCGAAGTCACACCGGCCAGCCGGTTTGGTACAGCTGATGCGGCCGCGATGGCGGTTGCCGACGGGAACTGGCGAGCGCGTGTTGAATGCCGCGCACGCATTGCCAGACGAGTCGAGAATGGCCCGGTACACCGCAGGAAGTCAGAGGTGGCCGGAGGAAGCCCGACGGTCTGACAGGACACCCCAAAACATTTTGTGAAAAAACATTGGGTTTTTGATGTTTTTATGTTGAAATGCTTGCAAACACGCGGTGTTCGGTAGGATTCTGACATGAACGCGCGCAGTTTTGCACAGATTCGCTAGGCCTGGGTGCATGACAGAGCACGCGAGTGCAACCGCGCGATGACGGAAACTCGCTGGATTTGAACCGAATTCCCTTAGATCCGATGGTTTTTTCCTACGATTTTCAGCAAGAGAGCCCGTCGGGAAATGTACACATTTGTGTGAAAAAAGCAATTGGTGGTTTTCGACGTTATGTTGACATCTTGCAAAAGCTAACGGTGTTCGGTAGGATTCTGACATGAACGCGCGCGTGTGCTCTTTGTGGTATTTTTTGCAATGGATTATCGCCGTGGACGACAGGACGTCCATGTCGAGAGGAAAAAATAAGAAAAATGTTGATTTTGTCTTGTTTTTTACAGGTTAGGATGGGACCACCCGGATGCGGCCCCTATCTGCCGGCCTGGAGGGGGAGTAGGAGTATATTCTAATAAGGAATAAGGATTAGGAGTAGGAGTAGGAGTAGGAGTGGGAGTAGGGGTAGGAGTAGGAGTAGGAGTAGGAGTAGGAGTAGAGTAGAGTAGAGAAGCGTAGAGTCGAGTAGAGTAGAGCAGAGTAGAGCAAGGCGGAGCCGAGTAGAGTAGATTAGAGGTAGAGTAGAGCAGAGTAGGGTAGAGTAGACCATGTAGAATAAAGGAGCGTAGACTAGAGAAGAGTATAGCATAGTCGAGTCGAATAGAGTAGAGTAGAGTAGAGTAGAGCAGAGCAGAGCAGAGTAGAGCAAAGTAGCGTGGTGCATAATGGAATAAAGTAGAGCAGAGCAGAGCAGAGCGGAGTAGGGTGATGTTGCGATGAGTAGTGTACAGTGGAGTGTAGAGTAGAGTAGAGCAGAGCAGAGCAGAGCAGAGCAGAGTGGAGTGGAGTGGAGTGGAGTGGAGTGGAGTGGAGAGGAGAGGAGTGGAGTGGAGTGGAGTGGAGTAGAGTAGAGTAGAGCAGAGCAGAGCAGAGCAGAGCAGAGCAGAGCAGAGAGTAGAGTAGAGTAGAGTAGCGTAGCGTAGCGTAGCGTAGCGTAGCGTAGCGTGGCGTGGCGTGGCGTGGCGTGGCGTAGCGTAGCGTAGCGTAGCGTAGCGTAGCGTAGCGGCGTAGCGTAGCGTAGCGTAGCGCAGCGCAGCGCAGCGCAGCGCAGCGCAGCGCAGAGCAGAGCAGAGCAGAGCAGAGCAGAGCAGAGCAGAGCAGAGCAGAGCAGAGCAGAGCAGAGCAGAGCAGAGCAGAGCAAGAGCATGCAGAGCAAGAGCGAGCATAGCAGAGCAGAGCAGAGCAGAGCAGAGCAGAGCAGAGCAGAGCAGAGCAGAGCAGAGCAGAGCAGAGCAGAGCAGAGCAGAGCAGAGCAGAGCAGAGTAGAGTAGAGTAGAGTAGAGTAGAGTAGAGTAGAGTGTAGAGTAGAGTGCAGCGCAGTGCAGTGCAGTGCAGTGCAGCGCAGTGCAGCGCAGTGCAGCACAGTGCAGCGCAGTGCAGCGCAGCGCAGCGCAGTGCAGTGCAGTGCAGTGCAGTACAGCACAGTGCAGTGCAGTGCAGAGCAGTAGACTAGGAGTAGAGTAGGAAAGAGTAAAGTGAAGTAGGGTAGAGTTGAATAGAGTAGATCAGAGTGGGGTAGGATGGAGAAGAGAAGGGTGGAGTACAGTAGAGGAGAGGAAAGGAGAGGAGAGGAGAGTGGAGTGGAGTAGCATAGAGCAGAACAGAGTAGAATGTAATAGAGTAGAACAGAGTAGGAGTGGAGTAGAGGAGCGGACTAGACGAGAGGAGGGGAAAAATTGACGCGGACGGTCGAAGGGCGCCTGAAGCCAAAGTGCAAGAGAGGCTGCAGGCGCTTCAAAATGTCTGCTGCCCAGCAAGGACTGACCACGGCTGGAGCAGCAGGAGGGGCACGCTGACTGCGCACGGCCTGGACACCTGGGCAGAGGGAAGCCCCGACCGATTCCCCGAACAGAAGACCGCACCGGGCGGCCAGCGAGCTCGCGAGCAACGTGACCAGAGGCCTCTTTGAGCGGAGGCTCCTCCACACTCTGAGCCACGAATCAGGCGTGCGCGGCTTGCCCTCCAGGCTAAGCGGAGGTCCCTTGCAAGCTGAGGCCAAGTGGGGCATACGTTGGCCAGACGTCCAGCACCGACACGCCCGGCAGAAGCAGACGAAGGGATCGTCCGAGCAGTCGGCGGCCCAACGAGCATGACCCAGAGCCGCGAGAGCGCTGAGCTGAGTCTTGCTGCGCCAAGGGCATGCTCCGGGGGGGGGGGGGAAACGGGGGGGAGGGGATCCACCATGCTGCCGACCTCGTTGACCAGGCCGCGCTTCCCCCCGAGACGGTGAACGCATTGCCACATCCCGGCCAGTGCCCAAGACCACTCGTGCACGTGTCCAGGCGGCGGGGGAACCATTGTCGGGGCGCGCGCGAGCCACCCCCTGTGCGGGTCGAGGCGCGGCCATAGAGGAAGAAGACTGGTAGCCAAGCTAGCCACCGCCTGGGCAGCACGCAAAGAACGCGAGACAGCTTCCCTGGAATCGGGATCAGGCTGGGTGCGATGAGCCACCCCTCCCTTGGCAGCGGCGTCGGCCACGTGATTCCCGGTGCGCCAAAATGCCCCTCCTCACCAACCTCGTCGTCGATACATGTTCGCAGGCCTTGACATCAGACAAGCTCTACATAGCACAAGAAACCTTCTAAAACAACATTTGGAGCACAATGCCACTGTACACTGTAGGCAAACTCGTGACTGGCGCCTTCCGCGAAGGAGGCTGCATCGAAGTGCTTCGAAACGCTAAGACAGCCCGTGTACATATGACAAGGGTCACCAGCGAGGAAAACAGCACACCCCTCCACCACCCCATCCCACGCCGAACACTCCCCACCGCAGCTGGGTTGATGGGTAGGGCCCCACACAGACGCGGACACAGCGCAGACAAGCGAGGTGCCAAGACTGATCGCGGTGACACCCCATCCTGCTCGAGCAACCTCCCTCACGGCATTTCCTCTCCTCTCCCCTCAGCCCCTCGTCCCCCTCCTCCTCTGACCTGGCCCCTCTCCTCTCGCTCGGCCCCCGCGTGGAACGTAGAACTGGCAACCCGAGATGCGAGGCGGGTACGAGGACCTGCTTACCTTGTCATCAACCATGGCCATGTCAAACTTGGAGCACCGGTTGTGCATCTCCTGCGAGCAGGGAGCAGCAGAGTGCGTCGGCCATGCCAGCGCGCTGCGGGCAAGGAGATGCCCAGGATAACAGAGCGCGTGCTCCGAAAGGCTGCGCACACATGACGCTCGAATCACGTTGGAACAGAGATGAGGATGAGGAGGAGGGGAAGGATGAGGGGCGGACATGAATCGGCATGGAGTGCGGTGGGCAGACAGAGAGACTGAGGAGTGAGTGGAAGAGAGAGAGATATATATATATATATAAACATATGTATATACATCACAAAAAAGATAGAGAGAGAGAGAGAAAACAAAAAAAAAAAAAAGGAAAAAGAGATGGGGAGAAAGAGGCAGAGCGGACGAATCTTCGGCGATGCAGGTGAACCTTAACCGCTCAGGCTGCATGGCGACAATTGCGAGCGAGAGACAGGACATCGCAGTACGAGGCGATGTGTTAATCCTCCTCCTTCTCCTCCTCTCCTCCTCCTTTCACGTTGAGCGGACATAAGTTTTACAGCAGCTGTTGCGCCTGTGTGGTCGCCGCCCCCGTCGCTGCCTCGTCGCCGCCCGCCTTCTGGGCCGGTGTGCCGCTCTGCGGGCCACGTTGCCGCCGTCACCGCCCCGTCGCCGCCGGTCGGCTGGGCCCTGTTGTGCATTGCGATACACTGCTTGCTCTGCTTTGCTCTGCGCTGTTCCCCATGCAGCGCTTGCACTCACAGGTGCTCCACACAGATTGCACAAACCACATAGATTCTCCTTTCCGAAAACAAAGAATAGACTCTACCCCCCCCCCGGCGTTATCGCTACCCCTTTTCGGGTATGTAAATCATATATGATTATGACCACATGTCCATCCTGAGGGCCACCGGGGTTCCCCCCCCTGAGGTTCCCTTGTGAAAAAACACTGTGCGGTGACATCGTTTGTTCTAACATAACACTTTTTTCGCGAATCCCTTGCAAAAAATGGGACGAAGTGCACACGCGCGCGTCGTCGCGCGCGCATGCCGAAATCCTTCAAAAACCTTCGGTGCCAGAAGGATTGCGCAATCGAGTTCCCCAAAAAACATACAAAAACACAAGGTTTCGTAACACTGATGTTCTAGAAAAAGCTTACGCGCGAGCTCTTGCGAAATCTTGTTCAACAAAAAAAACCATGGGATTTTCAAGATTTTCACAACATGCTACCAAACGGGCGTCGCGCGCGCGCATGTCGAAATCTGTCGAACGCCCTTGCGCGTGTGCCGTCGCGAGAACCCTCTGCAAAAAATAAGACGAAGTGCAGACGCGCGCGTCGTCGCGCGCGTACGCCGAAATCCTTCAAAACCCATCGGTTTCGGAAGGATTTCAAAATCGCGCGTCCGAAACACCCGCAAAAACACAAGGTTTCGCAACACGGATTTTCAACAAAAGCGTGCCCGCGCGCGCTCTTGCGGCGTCGTCGTCGTCGTCGCCGTCCTCCCTCCTCCCGCGTCGTCGTCGTCGTCGCCTACGTCGTCCTGTGTCTTTCCTCGTGTTCGTCGTCGTCGTTATCTTTGGCGTCGTGGTCTTCTCCGTCGTCGTTTTCGCCGTGGTCGTCCTTCCTCCTCCTCCCTCGTCGTCGTCGTCGTCCGTCGTCGGCGTCTCGTCGTCGTCCCTTTTATTTCGTCGTCGGCGTCTCGTCGTCGTCTTCCCTCCTCCCTCGTCGTCGTCGTCGTCGGCGTCGCCGTCCTTCCTCCTTCTTCGTCGTTTGCGTCGTCGCCGTCCTCCCTCCTCCCTCGTCGTTGTCGTCGTTGTCGTCGTCGTCGCCGTCGTCGTCCTCCCTCCTTCCTCGTCGTCGTTTTCGTTGGCGACGTCGTCGTCGTCGTCTTCGTCGTCGTCGTCGGCGTCGACGTCGTCGTCGTCGTCGTCGTCGCCGTCGTCGGTGTCGTCGTTGTCGCCGCCGTCGTCGTCGGCGTCGTTGACGTCGTCGTCGTCGGTGTCGTCGTTGTCGTCGTCGTCGGCGTCGTCATCGTCGTTTTCATCGTCGTCGTCGTCGGCGGCGTCGTCGTCGTCGGTGTCGTCGTCGTCGTCGTTGTCGGCGTCGTCGAAGTCGTTGGAGACGTCGTCGGTGTCGTCGTAGTCGTTGTCGGCGGCGTCGTCGTCGTCGTTGTCGCTGTCGTCGTCGGCGTCGCTGTCGCTGCCAAGCGCAGTTTGGTACCCACCGTCACGGTCGTAAGAGATTTTGCAAACCAAGTTGCGGGTGGGTGGGTGGGATGTTTGCGCGAGCAGTGGAGTGGACAACTCACTGCGAACAGAAATTAATTCTCTTTTCAGAATAGGATCTACCCCCCCTCGGCATTATCGGTTCACCTTTCGGGAATGTAAATCACATATGATTACGACCACATGTCCATCCTAAATATGAACTTGTACTATCCCAGGGGGCCGGTATCCCCCCCTTGAGGCTCCCTTGTAAAAAACACTATTCGGTGACATTTGTTGTTCTATTCTAACATAACATTTGTTCACGAATCCCTTGCAAAAAACTGGACGAAGTGCACACGCGCGCGTCGTCGCGCGCGCATGCCGAAATGCTTCAAAAACCTTCGGTGCCAGAAGGATTGCGCAATCGAGTTCCCAAAACACATACAAAAACACAAGGTTTCGCAACACTGATTTTCTAAAAAAGCTTACGCGCGAGCTCTTGCTAAATCGTAAGAAAACCATTAGTTTTTTCAAGATTTTCACAAAATTCTACCAAACGGGCGTCGCGCGCGCGCATGTCGAAATCTGTCGACCGCCCTTGCGCGCGTGCCGTCGCGAGAATCCTCTGCAAAACATGGGACGAAATGCAGACGCGCGCGTCGTCGCGCGCGTATGCCGACATCCTTCAAAAACCATTGGTTTCGGAAGAATTTCAAAATCGTGTCTCCGAAAAACCTACAAAAACACAAGGTTTCGCAACACGGATTTTCAGCAAAAGCGTGCGCGCGCGCTCTTGCGTCGTCGTCGTCGTCGTCCTCCTCCCTCCTCCCTCCTCCCTCGTCGTCGTCGTCGTCGTCGTCGTCGCCGTCGTCGTCTTCTGCCTTTCCTCGCTGTCGTCGTCGTCCTCGTCTTGGCGTCGTCGTCGCTTCCGTCGTCGTTGTCGCCATGGTCGTCCTTCCTCCCTCGTCGTCTTCGTCGGCGTTTCGACGGTGTCCCTCCTATTGCGTCGCCGTCGTCGTCGTCGTCGTCGTCTTCACTCCTCCCTCGTCGTTGTCCTCCTCCCTCGTCGTCGTCGTCGTCGTCCGTCGTCGGCGTCTCGTCGTCGTCTTCGTCGTCCTCGTCGGCGTCGGCGTCGTCGTCGTCGTCGCGGACGTCGGCGTCGTCGTCGTCGTCGCCGTCGTCGTCGTCGTCATCGGCATCGTCGTCGGCGTCGTTGACGTCGTCGTCGTCGGTGTCGTCGTTGTCGTCGTCGTTGTCGTCGTCATCGGCGCCGTCATCGTTGTCGTCGTTGGTTTTGCAAACCAAGTTGCAAGAGCGCGGGATGTGTCAACTCGTTTGTTAAACTCAATTCTCCTTTCTACAAGACTGATAGATTCTACCCCCCTCCCCCCCCGGATTTATCGGCTCCCCTTGGGGTAATATGATTTCATCCAGATTCTGCACACTCGTCCATCTTGAATATGAATATTACCATCCCAGCCAAAACGCGTTCCCCCCTCTGAGGCCCCTTGTAAAACACACTATGCGGTGACATGTGTTGTTCTAACATAACACTTGTTCGCGAATCCCTTGCAAAAAAATGAGATGAAGTGCACACGCGCGCGTCGGCGCGCGCGCATGCCGAAATTCTTCAAAAACCTTCGGTGCGGCAAGGATTTCGCAATCGAACTTCAAGAAAAAAAAAAACATACAAACACAAAGGGTTTCGCAACACTGATTTGCTAAAAAAGCTTCCGCGAAAGCCCTTGCGAAATCTTAAGAAACCGTAGGTTTTTCAAGATTTTCACAAAGTGCTACCAAACGGGCTTCGCGCGCGCTCATGTCGAAATCTGTCGAACGCCCTTGCGCGTGTGCCGTCGCGAGAATCCCCTGCAAAAAATTGGACGAAGTGCAGACGCGCGCGTCGTCGCGCGCGTATGCCGAAAACCTTCAAAACCCATCGCTTTCGGAAGGATTTCAAAATCGTGTGTCCAAAAAACCTAGAAAAAAAACAAGGTTTCGCAACACGGATGTTCAACAAAAGCGTGCGCGCGCGATCTTGCGTCGTCGTCGTCGCCGTCCTCCCTCTTCCCGCGTCGTTGTCATCGTCGTCGTCGTCGCCTACGTCGTCCTCTGTCTTTCCTCGTGTTCGTCGTCGTCGTACTCTTTGGCGTCGTGGTCGTTTCCGTCGTCGTTGTCGCCGTGGTCGTCTTGCCTCCTCCTCCCTCGTCGTCGTCGTCGTCCGTCGTCGGCGCCTCGTCGTCGTCCCTCCTATTTCGTCGACGTCGTCGTCGTCGTCGTCGTTGTCGTCGTCGTCTTCCCTCCTCCCTCGTCGTTGCCGTCGTCGGCGTCGCCGTCCTTCCTCCTTCTTCGCCGTTCGCGTCGTCGCCGTCCTCCCTCCTCCCTCGTCGTTGTCGTCGATGTCGCCGTCGTCGTCCTCCCTCCTTCCTCGTTGTCTTCATTGGCGACGTCGTCGTCGTCTTCGTCGTCGTCGGCGTCGGCGTCGTTGTCGTCTTCGTCGTCGTCGACGTCGACGTCGTCGTCGTCGCCGCCGTCGTCGTAGTCGTCGTCGTCGTCGTCGGCGTCGTT